TACCTACCTACCTACCTACCTACCTACCTACCTACCTACCTACCTACCTATCTATCATCTATCTAACATCTACCTATCTACCTATCTACCTATCTATCTATCCATTATCTATCTATCTATCTATCTATCTATCTATCTATCTATCTATCATCTATCTAACATCTACCTATCTACCTATCTACCTATCTATCTATCCATTATCTATCTATCTATCTATCTATCTATCTATCTATCTATCTAATCTAATCTAATCTATCTATCTATCTATCTACCTACCTACCTACCTACCTACCTATCTATCTATCTATCTATCTATGGTGCATCCCTTTTTCCATATGGAGGTGTTTTTTCTCATTGAAGGAGAATATATATCTTCTCTTAACAAACAGCAAAGCCTGCCTGAAAGGGAGATGTGCCTGTATTAAAACACCAACTTCCAGACCTACAAGGAAGTAGAAAAGGCTTAGAACTGCAACACTTGTCAAACTGTGGGCCAAATATTTATGCATATATGTAGCTACAGAAACTTAATATCCTACTGGAACAATAAATATTTTAAGAAATTAAATTGATTACAAATGAAACAAAGTGTTAAGCACAATTGCTAATTTCCAGTCACTTTGGACAGATACAGCTTTTCTAATAATATGTACTTTCCTTTGGCAGATTTAAACATATTTTGCAATTTAATCACAGCAGGCAGAATTCAATGTTTGGTGCTGATAGGATTTGTATGTAAAAGCAATTTTTGGGATCTTGGAGCCTTAAAGGCAAAAAAATATGGTATATACACAAAAATATAAAAAATAATGAAGTGACCTGGAACAAAATGTTCCATACAGTTGATACAAATGTCAGTTTGTATCACTGAAATAGAATGCAGTATACAATTCATCTTTTGGGCAAACCAGGACATGTTAAATTAAATATTTTGTACATTATTTTAAGTTATCAAATACACATGAAGATGATCAGATATAAAGACATGTTGTAAGGCAAACTGTATTTATAATTACTGTTAAATAGCAGCAAAAGGAAAACAAGTACCAATATTTTTCTTAACAAATTTTAATAATCATTGAACACCAGGTTGTCTGGGATAAAAACACAAATTACAAGATACCGCATTTCTGCAAAATGCTACAGGAAGAAGCACAGCATGGCTGGCAATATCCTAGTGGAAAAACTGGATTGCTTTGTCTTTTTTTTTAAAAAAACAAAGATGTCAAGAACTAATTTTGTGCAACTGAAAGTTTGTTGCTAGAAAATGCTGTAATTGTGGGCAAACTATGCTCTTGCACAAAATACTGAAATTGTAGTATTTGCATTTCTAAAGAAATAGATACAAAAACTCACAAATAAGATCTGTCTAAAAGTAGACAGTTAAAAACAAGTGGGGGATTTTGGCTATCTTCCCATTACTATGTTTTTTAATGAGAGCAATGTCAAAACATTGTAACAGCATCAAAATAAAAAGGCATTATTCCTTATTTTACTCAAATTGCCAAAATAGAGGTAATGCTCAAATTGTCAGTAGTAGAAAAAGAGCACAACCCCATTTCTACTGTATTTTAGCAGTGTGCATGAGTATAAATTATTGGAAATCTAGACTCCAAATCTTCACCCCCATCCTAAAATCATAAAATCCAAATAATAACCCTTTTCAGTACAAAAACATGCTGAAGACAGCAAGCTATTTGATAACATAATTTAACTACATTATATTCAGGGCTGCAGTCCTAAGTGATAACACAGCTGCATAGCATTTTCTGAATACAATAAATCTAAAAAAAAACCTTCTCGCCATTTTTGAATAGGATATTGCATTTTCAAGCACATAAATTGAAAGATTTCATATTTCATCTTCTGTTTCAGAAGTAACGACATTAAAATATATTATTACCTGCAGAAAAGAATTATATATATATAAAAATAACTTGACGGGGGATACTTTTGGTGCAATTATTGTAGAAATCAACTGATTCTTTAATGTTTATATTTCTTGTTCTAGCTGTTAATACTATAGTACTTAGATTCCCTCCCACATACACAAATTCATAAATCCTTCAAAATTAATTGCCATGCAGAATGCTGACCATTTCTAAAATTACAGATGCTCATTTTTAATAAAAGAGAGTATGAGCTCCATGGTATGTTTTGTGATTTTGGTTGCAATAAAGTTCTAGCAATTCAGAAAATGTTGCATTTTTTAACATTTACTTTTTCTGTATTTGGTAAATAAGTCAGATAGCCATTTCTCCTATACTCCAATGTAAACAAATCTTTGTACATTTTAATTCATAGCAAAGGAAATATTGGCATAAACACTAGAAATAAATTCTTATACAAACCTCTCAATTAGCTGATTTAGGTATTTATGCCACTTGTTGTAATGAATTTTGAGTGCATAAAATTTCATTGAAATTCTGTCTTCCAGTTCCAAAAAAATTAATGCTTCACAACCAAGCAATTAAAATTGTCTGAAGGAGAACATTTGTCCTGATCCATTCTACTGTACAGTATTACAAATGAAATCACATGAAAAAAAAAAAAAATCAGGCAATAGAAAATGTACAACAGCTTTGACGTTATACAGTAATATTTTTT